AATGTGGCCTTACGATTGGATGAAGGCTTAGGAATAAATAATCTGTGGTAGGCAGAGGAACACAACCTTGCTTGCGGAAAGTGAGGAGGACTTAAATACGAAGGTCAAAGATTGCAGTCTTCAGGATGAATACAACTCAATATTCAGAAAAGCAAAGTCCCCACAACTGGGTCAATAGATGACATCATAATGAATGGAGAAAAGATTGGTGTTCCCAAAGATTTCATTTTACTTGGATCCACAATCAAGGCTCACGGAAGCGGCAGTCAGGAAAGCAAAGGACCTTTTGCATTGGGCAAATCTGCTACCTAAGATCACTTTAGAAGGCTGAAGAACTAGGATTCACTTTGAAGACTAGGGTGTGCCTGACCCAAGCATGGTGGTTTCCGTAACCTCAGATGGGTGTGCAAGTTGGACAATAAAGAAAGACCAAGGAAGAATCGAGTATTTAAAGTATCGTGGACTGCCAGAAGAACAAATGAATCTCTCTCAGAAGAAGCGTAGCCGCTTCTTCGAAGCAAGGACAAAAAAGGTTTCATATCACCTAATCTGGCCATGTTATCAGGAGGACCTCGTCCCTGGAGAAGGACAACCTGAGGGGTAAAGGTGATGGTCAATGAATGAAAAGAAGACAGACCTCAACTAGATGGACTGACACCGTGATTTCAACAATGGACTTAAACGTTAACAACAATTGTGAGGGCGGTGCAGGCCTGGGCAGTGTTTCATTCCGTTGTATAGAAGGTCACTATGAGTCGGAATTGACTTGACAGAACCTGACAACAGCATTGATTATAGTTAATGACTTACTGTAAGAATGGAATTAAAAAATAAATGAAGGCTCCAGATTCCTCAGCCCTCAAACCTCAACAGGGGTCTGAGTGGCTTAAAAAAAAGGAGGAAAGTGACGCTGAAATGGACTTGGGAGTCTTGTGACCAACGAGTTCACTTCAAATAATAACACATACAAAATAAAATAAAATGAATGAAGGGCGTTATTTCACATATTCCATTCAATAGTCTGCTGAAGAGTGACTGTCATTTTTCCCAGTCAACTTATGTGTGCCAATAGTATCCATTTGCTATGTTGTCAACCCCTAACAAGAGCCGGAAGGAATACTCCTGGCAAATGAATCTCAATCTTTTAAGTGCTACACTTTAAATAAACAGATGTATAAAAAGCCAAGTAGACAAAAATACCTACAGACATAATGCAAACACCGAAGTCAAGCAAGGAGGGAGGCAGACTTGCAGAGGAAAGATTCCCCGGTCGTCGGTTTTGTCCACTGAAAGAAAACAGCTAAAGAACTCCACCACTGAGAAACCGAGAACATACAATCAGTGCCCTGAATTGTACGTGGCTGTCCACCAAGCAGGCAACAGGGGTACTGATGCTCCCTCTGACGCCCATCCAACCCACCGGGGTACAATCCCCTTGCTCTGGATCGGTGGCCCTGGCAGCTATTCCTGAAATCAGGGGGAAGTAACAGGTGCGAAGGCCAGCAACTTTAATTAGGAAGCCATAAATAAATAAACAGAGCGCTTTAAAGAGACGGTGAAGGGAGGAAGAGAAATCACAGCAAGTGAACTAAAGCATTGGAATAGGGAAGCCACACAGCTTCGGAAAGTCGACGGGGCCATCGCCACAGATCTCGGAGGTAGCGACGGCGGGGGCCACAAGGACCGGGATCTCGGGGCCGCCGAACTCCAGAGCCATCCTCGGGCCACGAACAGTTCCCGGGAACCCCCTCCCCGCCCTCTCCCGTCAACCCCGCCCACTGGGCCCGCCCCGTCCCGCCCGGCGACTCACCGGATTCGCTTCCCACATAACGGTGGCGAAATCCAGCGGAGAGAGCCTGGGGGGAGGGGCTAGCCGCGGGATCGGGGTGCTGGATTTTTTTTCTTGAGGGTCCCCGGGCGCGGAGGGTGGGAGAGGCAGCCTGGACGGAGATCTTCCTGGGCCCGCTCCCTGTCACAAGCCAGCGGCCTCACACCACTCTATTCCCTGACTTCCGCCCGGAGCCAGCCAACCAGCGCTGACCCCGCCCCGCGCCCGGAAGTCCGCCCGCCCCGACGCGTCCCTCCCGGCTCGGGTGGGCGGGCCGCGGTGGGCGGGGCTTGTAAGCATCTGCCTTCGAAGGGAGTGGGTGGGGTTTCTAATGGACGGACTCCGCGTCCGCGATCCAGCTGTTAGGACCTTGCGCCCCAGTGATCCCTATGCCTTCCTGCGGGAGCGGGCATCTTCACCTCACAGTGCAGTGGCTTCTAGTGAAAACGCGACAATGCTCGGAATGAACCCCACGTCTTCAAAGGGTTTGGGGGGGCACAAGCTTCATTACGTGAGTCTCAATTTCCTCATCCTGAAAACGGAGGTAATATGATTGACCTAAAATATGGCAGATTATTTCAATCGTGTAGCACAGTGTGTTAGACAGGGTTCTCTAGAGAGACAACACCAGATTGCTCATAACTATATAGATATTTATTTATTTATACAGATAGATAGCACAGGAAATGAACAGTTAAATTATATACAGATAGATCGATAATACAAGAAATGAATCTCACAACACTATCTCACACAGTATCTGGCACATAGCAAGAGCTCGATAACGTAGTTACTTACCAGTCGCTGTGCCAAGGAGCCCTTGAGGCCGTGTTGGGTAAAGGGGTTGGGGGGTGGCTATCCCCAAGGTCAGTGGTTCAAAAGGAGCCGCTGCTAGAGAAAATTAGGCTGTCTGTTTGTGTGGGGCCGCTATGGGTCAGAATCCACTCCAGCAGCAGTGGCTTTGATCTGCGATGGTACCCTAGGACCTGGCGGGAACCCAAAACCCCCAAACCAAACTCGCTGCCACCCAGTCGATGCCCACTCACAGCAGCCCTTCTAAGACTAACCCCCAAACAGTCCCCACCCTCATGGCGATTAACCTCTGGGAAGGAAGCAAAACCGTCGCGGTAGTAGTTACTGTTCCTTTAATGTAGTTGATTTAGACGCAGTATGGCAAGTACAGTTCTTTACTTTACCTGGGATAAAATAAGATATCCAGAAAGTCCTCCCTCGCCCAAGAGGTTTAAGCTCGTCTCTAGGATATACTCCTATTGGAATTACTAGGTAGAGAGAGCTAAGAGAAAGGAAGAATTTCCCAGGTCACTATGAATCAGAAATAAATGGTAGGGAGTGAGGTGGTTTGGTTTGGTTTTGAACACTAGAAAATGGGGAGGGGGCACGTTAACTGCCTCCTTTCATACTTTTCTAACCCACGGGTTAAATAAAAAGAACACAGTGTGATCAAAGAATACCTAGTCTTATAAGATCCTCTTTTCACTTAATAAAATGTGGATAGCCTTCCATTTGAAAGCATTTTTTTATCATTTTAAAGTAAGCTCGTGGCATTCCATAGTTTCAGCCCATTGTCATAGTCCAGTGGTTTTAGTTTTTTAATTATTTAAAAGTAAAATAACTCAATAAACATCTTTGAAAAGTCCTCACTGCATACTTGTCCATTTACTTCTTAGAAATTCTTTAAAGAAAGATTATGAAAATTGTAAATTTTAATACATTTTGCCAAACCACACTGAAGAATGGTATATAAAGTTGTACTCTCTAACAAATGTATATTTTTGTAAATTGAGGTTGAGATCCTCACTTTATCTCTTGCCAGATACATAACCAGTTACCCAAATATTATTTATCGAATAATCCATTCTCTCACTACTTTAAAGTGCCAGTGTTAATAACAAATTAACATGTGTACATAAAGTTCTTTCTGAACATTGTGGTCTATTCTTTTAACGCTTTCTATTCCTGTGCTATAACATACTGTTATAATTACTATAGCTTGGTATTATGCTTGCCCTTTGGTAAATTCCTCTCCTAGTCCTCTTCATTTTCAAAATTCTCAAAAGTGTGAGTACTCCTATTCAGGACCATATCATTACATGTATTTAGGTCTTTTACATATTTAAGAACACTTTTAAGATGATTTTTCCATGTAATTTGCACAATACATGTTAAGTTCGTTAATGGATATGTTATAATTTTGGTATTCTGAGTGAAATTAGAATGCTAATTAATTATTCATTACTGTAATATAGGAAAGCTATTAATTTGAGGGCATTTATTTTGTATCCTATCACGCTCTGAAAATAGCTTATTTGTTCTAATACTTGACAGCTCATCTCTCTAAATTTTATATCGATAATCATATCACCTACCAGTATGCTGCTTTCTTGCTTCATTGTCATATTAGTCTGAGCTCCCCCAGAATGTTTGAAGAACAGAGGACGAGTTCACAGTATTCAATCTTGAATCAAATAAGACAAGTCTTCATAGAACAGGCCATGTGTCTGTTGCAAGATTTTAAGTATGCTGTCTTTTTTTTTCTTCTATCTTTAGTTTATAATAAACTTTTAAACAGGAAAGGATGTCAAATGCTATTAACTATCTCTTAGGCTCAATTACTATACTCATGACCTATTAATATAATGAATTATCAAACAGATTTAATGATGTTCACCTCATCCCTTTGCTCCTAAAATAAATTCTGCTTGTGAATCCTGTATGATTCTGTGAATAGCCTGCTGGATGCAATTTGTTAATCTTTTATTTAGGATTAAAATTTATTTACTCAGAATGACATTTGTCCATTGTAATGGGTCCATTGTGGTTGTCTTTGCTATATTAAGGTACCAAAGTAATACTACCCTTGTAAAGTGAACAGTAGCAATTCAAGTAGCTTAAGAATCAACTCTCCTTGAAGGTGAAATCGATTTTTTGAAAGCATATATAAATGTGAGCCTCAGCGGCCGTGGAGCTATACTTTATTACCTTGGGCTTGGGAAGGTTAGACAGAGAGAGAACAATTGATTTAGATAACACAAGGGTGAGTCAAAAAGTATTGCTGCAACATCAACTCGCCACCATTGAGTCGATTCCGAATCATAGTAAACTGTGAAGCTGTTATTTCTCAATATACCTTCCATCTAAGTCTATACATTACAGAAGGGAATATTTCCATCACTCGAACACTTCCCTAAGAATTCTGCACTGTTCCATCTGCACCATGTCAAAACGGCAGTTTTGTGAACTTCGAGGGACCCAAATCATGGCCCTTTGAAATGTTCTTTGAGTACTGGGGACAAAAAGAAGTTTGAAGGAGCAAGGTCACAGCTGTAGGCTAGATAGGGTCAAGCTTCTCAGTGACATCCTCTAGAACAGCTCTGATGCTCCCCAAGAACAAGCAGGTAAAAATTGCTCAGACAATTTTCCTGCCCTTTTCATAGTTTTCAGTTTGCCTCAGACTGCTTCATAATGAGCCTGCTTTGTCATTTGAGAAAACCTATCAAGATTATGCTTTGGGATCCCCCCACCAGTTGCCATAACCTTCTAAGGTGACCTCCTTGCCTTGAATTTCATCGATCCTAACAGATTCTCTCAGAAGCCACTGTTTTGATTGAATGCTTGTTTGTTTTTAAGATACCCTAATGAGATTGAGGCAAGTGTATTGCTGAGAGAATTTGTCTGCCGCTATCCACGGATGGCAGAGGCATGTTTAAACATGTTTTGTTTGGAGTAAACTTGTGCATATATGAACTGGAGTGTTTTGATTTACTCTCATGTGTCACTCTCTAAAATATACGAGTCTATCTCAAAGTATTCATGGGATCACATGAGTTGGAATCAACTCCACAGCAACTAGCAATAGCATCCCAAAGTAATAAGGAGTGTATTTCATAAACTGAAAAATCTATGCAAATGTAAGTCATCATTGTTTTCATAGTGTTACTGACTTATTTCTGTTAGTTGCCCCCAGATCATAGCAAACCCATACACAACAGAGCAAATGCTAATCCCTCCCCATGATCAGTTGCAGATCAGACAATTGTGATCCTTAGTATATCCAGGCCTTCCTTCGTAGTTTGTCTCTGTCTGGAAAGTACCCTGAAATCTATTCGACATCAACCCAACACACACATCTCCACTGATAGAATAGAATTGAACTCAAGTCTCCCGCATAAAAGGCAGGAGTTCTACCACTGGACCATGGATGCCTCCTCACAACAATTACTGATTTAAAAAAACTCACTGCAATCAAGTAGAACTGTCCCTATGGATTTCAAAGGCTAAATCTTAATGAGAGCAGAAAGCTTCATCTTTCTCCCATGGGATGGCTGATGGGTTCGAGGTGATGACCTTGCAGTTAACAGCCTACTGTAACCCACTATATCACCAGGCCTCCCGTGAGGCACCAGCCTCCACAAGCATATGGGGCTCAAGGGGGTGGCTGTGTAAATTAAAGAGATATGAGACAAGACATGCAAGGGCTCACCTCTTCTATGATTTCAGGAGCCAGGTCTGCACATAGAGAGAAAGAGTGTATGTATTCTCACAAGCTTATATAATCTTGGGCACAAAAGCCACAGTACGCATATACTTAACAGGAAGGGTTTATTAGAGCTATACACATAACATGAGGGGACGAACTAGGGGTGTACACGAAATAGGAAGGGGAGACACTGGAGGCAGACCTGTGACAGGAAGGTACATACTAATAAGATGGGTGGGCTCTAGAGTCAAGATGGCAGCCTAAATTTGGTCATCTCTGAGTTGGCTAGACCTTATCTGTCTTTGAGCTGTTCTCCAGGGGAACGACCTAAAATCCTCATCAGAAGGGAGTGGGCTCTACTTAGGGTGGCACAGACGGACAACCGGGTCTGATTGCTGTTGATGGCAGACAACCTTCAGGCAGACAGCCTTCAAGCAGTTGATCTTCAAGCATATAGTAAGCAACCATGTTTGCAAAAAGCACTTTAAATTTGGCATTATTATGGAGGGGGACATTGACTTTTACTTAGGAGAATGTGACTGGAACACATCTCCAACCTATTCCACCGCATCTCCCCTTCACCGGAGCCCCAGCCTCCCCACCTCCTTGACATATGACCGCTGAGAGTTTGT